AACCCAACAAGAGCTTCAGTTGCTTTTAAAATAAAGCCCAAGATTTATAAGGCCCTCTGTGGTTCGGCTCTGCTTTTTTCTGCACCTTCATCTCATGCCAGCCTCCCTCTCACTAACTATGCTTCAGCCATGCAGGTGGCTTTTCCTGTTTTGGAACCCACCGAGAGCTTTCTTACCTCAGGGTCTTTGTATTGGTTCTTTCCCTTGATTGAAATATTCTTCCTCTAGTCCCAAACATGGCTTGCTCATTCTCATCCTTCAGGTCCTATTGTATGTGTTATTTCTTCAGAGAGATCAAATCATTCTGACTACTCTATTTAAAAAGTTTTTCTGGGAGGATCGCTTGAGGTCAGGAGTTTGAGACCAGCCAGACCAACAGGATGAAATCCTGACTCTACTAAAAATACAAAATAAGCTGGGCATGGTGGCAGGTGCCTGTAATCCTAGCTACTCAGGAGGCTGAGGCAGGAGAATTGCTTGAGCCTGGGAGACGGAGATTGCAGTGAGCCGAGATTGCACCACTGCACTCCAGTCTGGGCAACGAGTGAGACTTCATTCAAAATAAAATAAAATAAAATAAAATAAAGTAAAGTAAAATAAAATAAATTGAAGACCGGGCATGGTGGCTCATGCCTGTAATCCTGGCACTTTGGGAGGCCAAGGCAGGCAGATCAGTTGAACTCAGGAGTTCAAGACCAGCCTGGGCAACATGGCAAAAACCCATCTCTACTAAAAATACAAAAAATTAGCCAGGTGTAGTGGTGCATGCCTGTAGTCCCAGCTGCTTGGGAGGCTGAGGCACAAGAATTGCTTGAACCCGGGAGACGAAGGTTGCAATGAGCCGAGATTGTGCCACTGCACTCCAGCTTAGGAGACAGAGTGAGACTCTGTCTCAAACAAACAAACAAAACACATACACAACTGCCCCCCCACCTGCCATGCAAAAAAAAAAAAAAAACAAAAAAGGTTTTTCAAAGCTGAGGCCAGTAGGATCACTTGAGTCCAAGAGTATGAGACCAGTGTGGGCAACAGAGGGAGACCCTGTCTCTACAAAAAACCTGATAAATTAGCTGGGCGTGGTGGTACATGCCTGTGGTCCTAGCTCCTCAGGAGGCTGAGGTGGGAGGATTGCTTGAGCCTTGGAGGTCAAGGCTGTGATGAGCTATGATGGCACCACTGCACACCAGCCTGGGCAATACAGTGAGATCACCTCAACAACAACAACGACAGTTTTCTCCATTCTATCACTTAATAATAATCGTTATTATTATTCCTACATAACATTTACCACTATCACAGTTATGTGTTGACTTATTTTTATTTTTTGTCTATTGACTCTCCCTAAGCTCCATGAGGGCAGAAATCTTACCCATTTTGTTCACTGTTACAGTAACTAGCATGTACGAGGCATTCAATAAATATAGGAATAAATAAACAAATGAACATGGATCATAACAGTTCAGAGGAAGACAGGATTCCTCCTCTGTTAGTCAGTTCAGGCACTGGGGAGGACTTTGCTCAGTGTGAGGGAGACAGAGTGTACCTGGAGAAGAAGGTGTAAATGCAAAAGCAGAGGAGAGTAAGTTGAGATGGGATGTGCAGGGACTGTAGAATTGCAGAGTTGGAACAGCTTTTTTTTCTTTTTTCAGGTGGAGTCTCACTCTGTTGCTGAGGCTGTAGTGCAGTGGCATGATCTCAGCTCACTGCAACCTCTGCCTCCTGGGTTCAAGTGATTCTCGTGCCTCAGTCTCCTGAGTAACTGGGATTACAGGCGCATGCCACCACGTCCAGTTAATTTTTGTATTTTTAGTAGACAGGGTTTCTCCATGTTAACCAGGCTGGTCTTGAACTCCCAGTCTCAAGTGATCTGACTGTCTTGGCTTCCCAAAGTGCTGGGATTACAGGTGTGAGCCACTGCGCCTGGCCAACTTTCAAGAAGAAGTGGGTGTAGGGAAAGGAATACAGCTGACATGCCTTCAACTCCTTGCCTTCCCGTAATTGCCTGTGTAACTTTGGATGTATCATTTAATTTTGAGTTGTCTTCACCTGTACAGTGTGGAAAATAATCCTTAACATGGACGGTTATTGTGAATAGTAACACTTTATACTTAGGATCCTATTGGAATGCATGTGATGACAAATGGTAGGCATTTGCACCAGGATTTCATTCAGATTCTCAGCTGAGGGAGTGCACCAAAATCAAACTTGGAGCTTTGTAGAAACATGGATATCAAGAACCCAGTGCAGTACTACTGAATCAGAAGAGTTAACTGTGGGTGGGGGTTTAAAAATCTGATTTAGGGTTTTAAAAGACCACATCCAGCACATGCATTTTTCTAAAGTTTCCCAGGGGATTCAGATGTATAGCTGTTAGAACCGTGCATTTAATCCAAGCCATGCCGGAATCCTCTCCAAATATCTCTTGCTGAGGGATTGTCCTACTTGAATAGCTCTGTTAATGGGGAGCTCACAGAGCCACAGATCCAGGCTGCTTCCCAATGGGGCATCCACCTGAGCCTTTGAGACTTAATCCCTAGAGAACAAGTTTTTCATTTCTTATCAATTGGGTGATATTTGGTAGTAATTAAAAAAAAATCTTGCAGTCCCAACTAAAGTCATCATGCCTTCCAGTATTCTTGGTCACGTCCAAGATGGAAGCCAATCTAGCTATCTTTTGTACTTTCATCCTTTTTGTATTTGTGCTTCTTCTCTAATCCAATGATTTGTTGCTGGGTTCCCTCCCAGACTTCTCCACTGAGCACTTTAACCTTCCACCTTCAGTGTACATGAACCTATACCTCCAACCTCTTTAGTGATTTTCCCTCTACCTCCTGCTGTAACTGAACTCTGTCTTAAATTAGAAGATGTTTCAGATGTCAACCATGACGAGGCAGTCTTATGAAACATTAACCATCTGTTTGGTTGGCTGCTTGTGTACACACAAATATATTCATTCGTGGAATGTCTGGGGCCATTAAACATGTCTAAAGGTTTGATGCTGGGAAAACATGATGAGGGCCAAGGGGTCTTGTGTCTGGTGACTATGCATGAAAAGTGAACAAAGCTTTGTGGGCAAACGTGGGACGTGAGAGGTAGACAGGATTGGAAATTAGATGAGATCCTGCTCTGGGAAGTCTTCCTCCTGGAAATAACTCTGGAGTCCTGCAACAGATCAAGCATCCATAATAAGATGGAAAAGAGTGCAATTCCATTAAATCCACGCATTCTGTATCTGAGGCTCATTTAAAAGAAGCCATCTATTTCTAAGGCCAAGGATGGTTGATGGGGATATGGGAACAGGTTATATAATTTTCTCTAGTTTGAATGCTGTTATTTCAATAAAAGGACTTCTGTTTAAAAAGCCTTGTTGTCAGAAGGGCTTAATTGTCTTGGCTTTCTACAGATTGGGGAGAAAATTAAAAATCAGAATGAATGCCGTAAGTTTTTTTCTTTTTTTCTCTCACCATGGCAGAACAGATTTTTTTTTTCTTTCTGTATTTTGGTGTAACTTGGACTATTGGTTACATTAGAAATTATTATAACCATCTTATTATATATTTATTATACTTTATTGAATAACATTGTATCCATGAGCGCTATTGTATAACATGAAACACTAGTATGCTTTACGTCTTCCTATCAACTCACTGCTCTGGTTTTATTGAAATACTTTGAAATTTTATTTTTATTATTCCTTTACATTGTTCAGCTTTTAGTTCTAGAATCCTTTACTAATAGTTATATCAAGCTCTGCAATCACGTTTAAATGATTATGGAAACTTATCCGTACAGCTTGCTGATTTCATTGCTCCTTGGTATTTGTTTCTAAAACCTGTCCACCCTGCACACTTATTCTTACGATATTTGTTCTGATTCATCTTTTTGATTTTTTTCACCAGGAAAGATACACAGATAGATTTTTTAAAAATTCTAAAATATCTGAAAATATCTTTCTTGGGCTCTTAAGTGAAGTATAGTTTGGCTGGGTCTAGAATGGTCATGTCATAATCTTTTACCTTTAGATAGTTCTTCGTAAATATTTAATTGTCTTTTAGTAGTCAGAGTTTAGAAAAAAAATTTCCTATCAATTTTGTAATTCTGGGTTTGTCTCCTTCTATGCAACTGATTTTTTTTCTTTGAAAGATGCATATAAGTTGAATCTTTAGGAGATAAATACTTTCTCCATTAATTTGCTTTAAAAAGTTCAGACATTTTGAATGTAGTCTATTTAACAATCAGTTGGCAATAATTGCTACAGTTGCATTAGCATCTATTCTGGGGTTGATAAGCTGAAGATACATAGTAAAAGGTACCAGAGAACTGTAGCATTTGAAAGAACCCTAAGATATATTACTTCGTAGACCAAGGAATTTTTTTTTTTTTTTTTTTTTTTTTTTTTTTTTTTTATTTTTTTTTTTTTTTTTTTTTTTTTTTTTTTTTTTTTTTTTTTGTTTTTTTTTTTTTTTTTTTTTTTTTTTTTTTTTTTTTTTAGGTAGAGTTTTGCTCTTGTTGCCCAGGCTGGAGTGCAATGGCGAGATTTTGGCTCACCGCAACCTCCGCCTCCTGGGTTCAAGCAATTCTGGCTCAGCCTCCCAAGTAGCTGGGCTTACAGGCATGGGCCACCATGCCTGGCTAATTTTGTATTTTTAGTAAAGATGGGGTTTCTCCATGTTGGTCAGGTTGATCTCGAACTCCCAGCCACAGTTGATCTGCCCACCTCGGCCTCCCAAAGTGCTGGGATTACAGGCATGAGCCACTGCACCCAGACTGGAATTCTTCATAAGTAAATAATCTCATAATTTGACCATTCTCTATGTGTGCATGTTTGGAAATTTTATTAAATTCAGACATACCTACATTGGATTATTTGCTGGGATTAGTGTTTTCTCTTTTCTCGTTTGAGTGGCCTCTATCACTATAAAATATTTATTTTAAAGATAAGAATTGTAGGACTTGAAGTCAGGGCTTACAACCAGTGATGTGTTGGTTTCCCATTGCAGAGATCAACTGTGGCAACCCTCCAGAAATGCGGCATGCCATCTTGGTAGAAAATCACAGCTCCAGGCTGGGTGGTGTGGCTCACTACATCTGTCAGGAGGGCTTTGAGAGCCCTGGAGGAAAGATCACTTCTGTTTGCACAGAGAAAGGCACCTGGAGAGAAAGCACTTTAACATGCACAGGTACAGATTCTGTTCTTCTGGGCCTCTGCTACCCAGGAACAAAACAGCCAGCGGAAGCTGAGGGCCTAAAATGATCTGATTGCTGCTTCTCTCTATGTACTGTGCCCAACTCTGCTATTTACCTAGTTGTACACCTGGCTTTAGATTTGTCAGCTAAATCCTGAAGATTTAGAGGGTGGATTGGGAAAATAAGTTGGATGGAAAATATTACGCATCCATCTCTTGAGACTTACCTTAAATCGCTGCGATTCCTGTCTCCTCTGCTTGGCTGGCTGAGAAATTTTTCTCCATGAACAATTTCCTCAGAGGGGCATACTCCTAACTTAACACCTATTGACCACTTTTCAGAGAAAAGATGGTATGACAAAAAATCATTTTTTGATGTTTATTAATTGTGTTAACACAATTTTATGTTAACAAAACATAAAATTTATCATCTAATATAGTTTTATTTTATTTTATTTTATTTTATTTTATTTTATATTTTGAGATGGAGTCTTGTTCTGTCACCCAGGCTGGGGTGCACTGGTACAATCTCAGCTCACTAGAACTTCTGCCTCCTGGGTTCAAGTGATTCCCCTGCCTCAGCCTCCCGAGTAGCTGGGATTACAGGTGTCCACCAACATACCCAGTTAATTTTTGTATTTTGAGTAGAGATGGGTTTCACTATGTTTCACAGGCTGGTCTCGAACTCCTGGCCTCAAGTGATCTGCCTGCCTAGGCCCAAAGTGCTGGGATTACAGGTGTGAGCCACCGACCCTAGCTTACCATCTAATATAGTTTGGGTATTTGTCTCCTCCATATCTCATGCTGAAATGTGGTCTCCAATGTTGGAGGTGGGGCCTGGCAGGAAGTGTTTGGCTCATGGGGTTGGATGACTCAGGAATGGCTTTGTGTCCTCCCCTTGGTGATGAGTTCTTGCTCTTAGTTCACATGAGAGCTGGTTGTTAAAAGGAGCCCGGCACCTCCTTCTCTCTCTCTCTCGCTCCCTCTCCTGCCATGTGACATGCTTGCTCCCTCTTCGCCTTCTGCCACTTCGTCAACTTCCCAAGGCCCTCACCAGAAGCGGATGTTGGTACCATGCTTCCTGTACAGCCTGCAGAACCATGAGCCAGATAAACATATTTTCTTTATAAATTACCCAGTCTCAGGTATTCCTTTATAGCAACATGAAACTGATTAGTATACCATCTTACTTATTTCTAAGTATGCTATGTATACTGTAGTATATATGTTTATGTATACTCATGTTGTTGCACAACCAATCGCCAGAACTTTTTTATCTTGCAAAACTGAAACTTTATATTCATTAAACAACAACTCCCCATTCGCCCCTCCCCACAGCCCCTGGAACATCACCATTCTACTTTCTGTCTCTTGTGAATTTGACTGCTGTAGGTATCTCATGTGGTACTTGTCCATTTGAGACTGGCTTATTTCACTAAACATAATGTCTTTAAGATTTATCCATGTTTTAACCTGCGTCAGCATTTCCTTTCTTCTTAAGACTGAATAATAGTCCATTGTATGAGTATCCCACGTTTTGTTTATCCATTCATCTATTGATGGACACTCAGGTATGTTCCATTTTTTGGCTATTAAGAATAATACTGCTATGAGATGTATGTACAAATATCTCTTTGAGACCCCAAATATCTCTTTGAGATCTCTTTCAATTCTTTTGGGTATATATCCAGAATTGGAATTGCTGCAGAAGGGAGTTTTGTGGCCAGGCACAGTGGCTTATGCATGTAATCTCTGCACTTTGGGAGGCTGAGGCACATGGATCACTTGAGGTCAGAGGTTTGAGACCAGCCTAGCCAACATGCTGAAACCCCATCTCTACTAATAATACAAAAATTAGCTGGGTGCATTTGCTTACACCTGTAATCCCAGCACTTTGGGAGGCCAAGGCAGGAAGACTGCTTGAGCCCAGGAGTTCAAGACCAGCCTGGGTGACATAGTGAGACCCCATCTCTACAAAAAATTAAAAATTTATCAGGTGTGGTAGTGCATGCCTGTAGTCCCAGCTACTCGGGTGGCTGAGGCAGGAGAATCACTGGAACCCAAGAGACAGTGGTGAGCCAAGATCATGCCCCTGCACTCCAGCCTGGGCAACAGAGTGAGACTCTGTCTCAATAAAAAAAAAGGAGTTTTAAGACTTCAGTTCATATTCTAGCAGTACCATATATTAGCTGTGTGTCATTAGGCAAGGCTTTCAGAGCCTAGGTTTCCTCATCTATAAAAGGGGGAATTAAAGTCTGTTTTTCTTACCTCAAAGAATGTTGAGAAGGCATCAAATGAGATCATCTCTGGGTACATTTTAGAAAGCTGAAAGCACCATGAACATGTCAGTCTTTTTCCTCAAGTTGTTAGCCTCACGTGAGGACCTTCTTATGAATCAGAAGTGTGCACTTCTACATGATTCATTTCACACCTCTGCCTCTGAGGGACAAGGTGAGAAAAGGCAGTGATTCTTACCATTTGTGATAGTTGATCAGAAGGTGTGACAAATGGTTGTCACATAGTCCCTGGGAATATATTTCTGGCTACTGACTTGGTTGGCTCTGAAGACAGGTCTCTGAAGAGTGAAATCTCCAGGAACTTTGATTTGGGTCTCCAGTTTGACTAGCAGCATAATTGTGGTAGAACATCTCAGGTCTTGCCCATCAACATTTTCCATCGGAAAGTCTAGCTAGAGCAAATAAAACATGTAGGCCCCTGGAGATTATTTCCACATAGAGTAATGTTTCATAACTATGTTGGGGATGGGAATTTGAGGAACTCTGTCCATTCATTCAGTAGAAATCTATTTAGCAGGCACTATATGTCAGGTACTTTGTTGGCATGACCCTCTTGGAATCCGCAGTGCAACAGGGGAAACAGCCTTTTCCCCAAAGATATGCACATACACAGGCACATATAGTGTTTTACGAGTAAATTCAAGGTGTTTCTGGACCCCTGAAATCTTTGAGTAAAGCATTCTTGGCATAGACGGAAAGCTCAGCTCTGATGTTGAGGCCCTGTGTATGCCACACAATTCCTACATTTGCTTATCTCTATCACAAATTCAAGAGAATGTAGGCCAGAGACTGCAATCAGAAAAACAAAGATGGATAGACCTGGATGAGAACCCAGAGATATAATGCAGCCTTCTCTTAGAGAGGTCTCATCGACTTGCCCAGCCTGCACAGAGGAGCAAGGACAAACGTGTAACTGACACCAAAGACTCCAGCGTTCCAGTCTTAATGACTGGAGAAATTGAGAAGAGCTAATGCCACACTGGACTAGACTGATGGTCACTCCAACCTATCATTGCCTTTGCAATAGCACCTCCAAGAATTATTTGGAGGAAGGGAGGTAGCTGCCTCCTGGAATGCTGAATTCAACATTTAGGGAAGCATTCCTGACACAGAGCCACCCCTGGAGTCACTTGGTAAGAGCTGAGTATAGCTTCTGACCCTCAGCCATTTGCTTCATTGCTCAAGCTACTCTGCCTCCATCATTCAGAATTCAATGGGGGTATAAGAATTAGTCACCACAGGAAAAACCAGTGGATCTGCATGGGGCATAGTAAGCTATTAATTAGCTGATGCTTGTAGAGCACTTTGAAGAACAAACATGTTATGTAACTGCTAATTATAATTACTATCCTCAGCCTGCTACCTTCCACAAAGTCTGTGGCTCCAGCTGCAGCTGTTTCCATGGGTTTATGCGAGCTTTGATTTAAGGAAAGAAAAGGCATTCTCCCTGAAAGCTGTGATCTTTCTGTGAGGAGGCCTTTATGCCCTCAATCAGGATTGGCAGCTAAATTCAATTTCTGAAGATAAAGGGGGTGATTTACATGCTGATTAATTCATGGTGCAGTGCAGATGATCTCTGGATGGGTAGGTAGGAGAGGCTTCTGGAAATGTAGTGAGAGCTGCCGATTACCATGGCTCTTGCTCAGTTACCCCTCTTCTTTTTTTCTTTTCCCTGTTTTTCACTTTTTACCCATTTCTTCACTCCCCTCATCCCAACTGTCTCTGTGTATTTTTGTTGATGTTTTGGAGATGGAGTCTCACTCCGTTACCCAGGTTGAAGTGCAGTGATCACAGCTCACCACTGCCTCAAACTCCTGGGCTCCAGCGACCCTCCTGCCTCAGCCTCCCAAGCAGTTGGGACTACAGGCATGAGGAACCATGCCTGGCTAAATTTTTAAAAAAATTATTTGTAGAGACGGGGGTCTTACTATGTTGCCTGGGCTGTTCCCAAACTGCTAGCCTCAAGCAATCCTCCTGCCTTTGTGTATTTTACATTTCCCTTTCTCAATGTTCACTTTTGGCTTCTGCTGTCATCTTTTTCTACTTTTCTGTTTCTCTCTGAATGCCTTCTACCTCCGTCCTCTTTTCACCCTTTATCTTCCTGTACCTATATGTTTAGTTCCAAACTGAGTGGAATATTTATTTTCACTCTACCTGGGTTGTTTTTAGTTACCTTTAAAAGTATTTTTGAAGCCACTAGTCTATTGGATTAATAGTACACATCCGTATTTTAATGGGGTGTGAGCTCTATTAAGATGATGGGACCCCACCCCCACCCCACATACACACCCAAGGCCAGTTTGGACTGGAAACTCCAGACAGCTGGGAATTAGGCAACCACTTCAGTGTCTGGAAAAACCCCAGGTGGAAGCTTGATGTTAATGAGTCGGTTTACCTCAAGATCAAAGAGACTGATTCATTCTTGATAAGACTTTCCCTGGCTCCATTCTGCACAGGCCATTTGGCTTTTCATGTTTAGAATCTGAGTTAATGATTATAAGGCTGAGAATCACTCACTCCGCACTCTCGGAAGGGCAGCGTCTCTGCTGGAACAGAGGCTGTTTATCTGTAGGATCCTTTCTGTGCCCCTAAACTGCTCCGGGCACTGCTCCGATGCCTCCAGGACTCCTGTTAGCCTCTGCCCCTTCTGTTTGGCTGCTGAGCTTCTTCTCCAGCCCACTGAGTGCTCACTTGCAG